ACCATGATATATCCTAAATTTATTGAAAATTAGTTAACACATAAACACATTGAGTCATGGGGTAATTTCCAGATGTAAACCATATGGCAGCAATAGAGTAACTACCAAAAAAGAGATAGCTAAAAAGCCAACATAGTAAGGCAGGATAAAAGGAAAGGGAACAAAAACATATGGGACAAATAGAAAACAAATAGGAAATAGCAAATCTAACCCAATTATATCAACAACTATAATAAATATAAGTTAAGCACCCCAATTAAAAGGCAGAGATTATGCAACATAATTCAAAAGAAAGGCACCTACACTTGTCCATGAGAGATGTACTCTGTATAAAGATGTATAAAGAAAAATAGATTGAAAATAGAACAGTGGAAAGACATAATATCATAAAACAGTAAGCATAAAAAAGCTGGTGAGGCTATATTAATATTAGAGAAAATAGTCTTCAAATTAAGAAATATTTTGAGAGATAAAGAGGGACATCTCATTATAAGAGGAGGCTCAGTTAATCAGGAAGACATACTAATCATATGTGTGTGCACCTAATAACAGAGATTCAAAATACACTCTGGACATTCAAAACTTGGAACACAACAGTTACATAGGAACTCTTTAACTTACATAAAAAGAGGGTCTTCTAGAAGATTTTCTTCTTCATACATAGATTTGACCTTTGTATCAGGGAATTGGACATATTATTCTACAAACTAATGAATGTGACCAATGTATCAGGGAAGCTGAATTATTTGTATATACGAAAACCTGTTGTTCCTTAAAACTGTCTTATTGGTGTAGCATCTTTACTTAAGGAGTGACTATGTTCAAGAAGGAGAGACCTCACTCTGTGCTAATATTACTTCAATAGCTCAGTATCCACATGTGCTTAGTGGCTACTATACTGAAGAGCACAGATGTAGTACATTTCCATCATCACAGAAGTTCTATTGGATACCATTACCAAGCTTTGATTTGATAATAAAAATATTAAAAAATTTTTCTATTTGGTTTTTTCCATATTGTTTTTATATATCACATTCAGTTTTCAGAAAAAATGTGTAGTCAAGTCTGAAATTACACAAATTCTTTT